ATATATATATATATATATTACACTATGTACTTATGTGATTTCTCCAACATATTATACTATGTACTTATGTGATTTCGCCTTCCTGTTGCCCTATTAAAATTTAAATATATTTTCAACAAAGTTACATACTCTTGATAAAGATTGCCGATTAACTGATAGGGTACAGAAAGCTGACTTTTAAAGAAGAGATGGCTTTGAAGGGTGATAGCCTTTTCTACTACTTGTAGTTTACTCGCTCTTTCTGAGTAGTGCATCTGTAAGTTGCTGTGTTCAGCTGCATTCAATTCTGAATTACAGAGAAAATGTAACAAGAGTAAAGAATAATTTAGGAAAGGCTAGTTTCTGTGTGACATTAACAATATATAATGACTACATCATGACTGATAATATAATCAATGCTAGAACAGAGGACATTATAGGTAGAAATTATACTTTGAAAGAAGTATGTAAGAGAAAATTATATTATGTTCACTTTGAAGCATCTCTATATTATTTCCTAAAAGCTACTGTAGGAATATAAAATGATTCCTGTATTTACATGCATTTGTTTTATTTCTTTTCTGTTGCTTTTTCTTCTTTCTCTTTTTTTTTTTTCTTTTTGGAGGCTGGGAAATGTGTTCTTTCTCTTATATTTCTCTTATATTAGTAGTAAATAAATATACCACTAATCAATAAATCAACCTGATTTAGGTCTACTATGATTTTAAAAATCAGTAAAAAAACAATCTGTGAAGTTTTCTTTTAATGAATTTTAATACAGATTGATTATATATGTGTGTGTGTGTGTGTGTGTGTGTATGTGTGTGTATGTGTTGATCTTTTAAAATCAGTGTGAGAAAAATAAAATGGGAAGATGAGGTTGAGAATATTACAAATTTGGCTAGTCTCCATGATTTTTCTCTTTTTTGGTATCTATTTCCCTTGACTAACTAGAAGTCCAATCCTGGCAATAGTGAAAGTGGATCAACGCTGTAAATAAATTCACGTTCAGATTAAACAGACTTCAAGACACAAAGAAAGCGTTGGTGGCAGAAGAGCCCTTAGTTACCTGGTGTTTCTCTGTCCGCTGAGGTCAGCTCCCCATTGATCCCATTCTCTTTGGTATTTGAATAGGTGCCCCGAGACCCATGTTCTCCAAAGGCGCCCTCTTCATCCTCCCTGTACGGGAATCCATTGGCACTTCGGACAAGTCCCTCTCCTGCCCCTCCTTGATCCTTAATCTCAGGTGGATGTGGGTGTGCCGATGCCTCTGTCAGCTGAGCTGAAGTCCAGTGGGGTGCCTTTGCTTCCTCTTTCCGATCTTCGGCCATTCTCTACTGCTCTGTACTCTCTCCTGTGATCAAAAGATAAAATATATTTGCTATCACTTTGGGGAAATATGATATATTAGTACACCAAACTCGGCAAAAATATGTAACAACTTTAATGGTCATTTGTGAACAACAACAACAAAAATTGATAGCTCTTAATATAAGAGGTAACCACTGTCAACACCTTGGGTTTTTACAGTTCTTTTCTGGCATTTTATTCTTAAATCTGTCTACATATACAGTTGCTCCTTGGACAACATGGTGGTACAGGGCACTAACAACCCCCCCCCCACACACACACACATACACACCAGCCGAAAACTCAAGCATAGTTAATTGTAGTCAGTATGTCCAGGCTCTCCAGCTATGGATTCAACCAAGCAACATTCACAGTTGACTGCATCCATGAACGTGAAGCCAGCAGACAGAAAATAATCCCCATGTAAGTGGACCAACACAATTCAAGCTTGTGTTGTCCAAGAGTTAACTGTACCCTATTTTTTAAAATTAAAGTTTGATTTTTAAGGGCACATCTCACTTTTCCTAACATATGATGTTGACTCTACAGTCATATCAAGGAGTCCTTTAGTGTAGGAGAAACCTGTATGACGAGAAAATTGGTAGAAAAAAGATGGGGAGAGCAGAACTGAGGGAGCATGCTTAACTGCAGGGAAATATGGAAATACTCTTCTTAATAAATAGAACTCTCTGTGAATCCTAGAAAAGAGAGTGACCATCATATTAGTCCTTTCAGTTTCAAAGGTGTTCAACTCAAACCAGAGGCAGATTTGCTTCTTTGGTCATACCACTGAGCATTACATATGAAATATTTTAAGTAATTTTCCTAGAATTGCTGGCATAGGGATAAAAGTTTGAAACTTGGTAAGTGCAGTAACAAGAGTTCCTCGCAAATTTAAAATTTACCAGTGACTGAATATTTCAAGTTAGATACGGCCAGTGTCTGAGACACCATGGTGGGAAGTGGGCATCCTCAGAATTAACTGTTCCATTCACATATCTGAAAAGTTAGCTATGGCTTGTATAAAGAGGAGTCTGCAGTGTTCTAGACTCCATTCTGCCATTATCTTCCAGGCAAATAACCAAGGGAGCTAATTCAAGAACAAGGATTGTCTCTTCCGAGTTGTGGTTTCTTTATATATCTAATGAAGAAATGAGAAAGATGCAAATTGTGACTTTCTGGATAGCAATGTTTTATCAACAGAGAGATGCTTTGCTTGGTGTCTTTATCTTTATATGCTTTCATATCTTACTTTGCCTTTACCAGAAGAGTTTAATTAAAATTTCATATTCTTATTTGGTCCAATCTATTTTGTGTGCAGAATGAAGACTTGTAAATCAATTTCTACATAAACAAGTACTTGCCTTGTTAATGGCATTTTATAAATTAATAGGTTTTGTGTCAGAACTGCTTTCGATGTCAAGACAATTGGGCAGACAACACAGAGAATTCCCTGGTAACCTTGCATACATTTCCCCATATTGCACATCTTCCATTACTGTGCTTCATTTGTTATAATGAATGAGAAAATAATGACATATTATCATTAACTAAAGTCCATAGTCTACATCCCTTCATGAACACCATACTACATTTAGTTTTCATGCCTCTTTAGAGTACTCTGTGAAGTTTTTAAGATTCTCTTTATTTTGATAATTTTGAGAAGCGCTGGTCTTAATTGATAGGATATCCTTCGTTTGTTATTTTTTGCAATTTTTTTTGAAGTTAGTCTTTGGTTTTGTGTTTTGTGTTTTGAGGAGGAAGATAAGGAGAGGTCAAGTTGTTGAAAAAGGATTGAGAAATGCTGGGGCACACAGGATGATAAAAGAAAAGCTTGCTGGTATCTTTTTTTAAAGATTATTTATGCATGCAACAACTGGAGTGTTGGAGGGGGTGGTGAGAGGATTTTCACCAGAGACAGAGTGGGGAGCAGAACAGAAGATCTACTGAAATACACTGCTGAGGGGAGCAGTGGAAGAGACAGGAGAGGTCTGCTGTGTAAGGTGGGCCAGCTCCATGGCTTGGGATGGAACTCATGGTGCAGTGACTGGCAATCACTTGACAGCTCTGTGTTCTTGACCCCTGCACCACCAAGGAGGCCCCTTTCTGGTATATTTTAATATGCTGCTAGGCACTGAACTCTGGGAGGGGCTGGCAAAGCACCTTGACCAGTTGACAACCTCCCCTTTATCTGAAGTCATGCTTATTAACATAGCTTGGGAGAAAGTTAGGTTTGCACTTTCGCCCATGTTCAGCTTTGGGAATTCTAACTACACAAATTCAAAGTAAATAAAATCTTATGAGGACTGACAGCTTGAGCTAAAATTGGCATTTTTTCTCTTAGGACTCTAAGGGAAAGATTTCTCAGTGACTAAAAATCCTCATTTTGAACCCAAAGACTAATGCTTACCTGGAAGTGTTACTTGGTAATCATCTACTTAAAATGTTAAACTCATTTGTTTTTAGGAGACAAGGCATTTAAAAGGTAGATTGTTAGTACTGAATGCTTCAGTGTTTTGGGGTTCTTTTTAGTTAATCTACTACAAATTGAAATTATAAAAAAGCTGCTACAAAAATAACTAATTTTGTAAGAAGAAAGGGCTGGTTAGCCATTCTGACATCAATTAATAACAGAGACAAAGTTAACCTGTTACCTAGAATGCATCAGTTGACTGCCTGACAAGACTACTCAGTTAATACTCTTTAAAATGCATGCAGGTTAATCATATATCACTTTCTAATTTGGCAGACTTTTGAAATTTACATTGTCTAACCATCTATTAAGTGGCAATCATTTTAGAATATTTTAAGCTACAATTGCAATTGTTCTGACAAAACTACTTTGACAGAAAATATGATTTGGAAAGATTTTTTTCTCTAGGGAAAATCTGCTGGAATCAATGGCAACACTATTTGGCCACACTCATTTATAATCACAATGTGACAGTATTGAAATATCATTTACCCTTAGTAAATTCTCAATTAAACTCCAATCAGTGTTTTTTGGGGGGGTCACAGGTAATCTCCAATTTTTAAATGGCATTACAACATAATTAAAAGTGATCACAACTTCCTTTCATTTTTCACTGATATATAGTCTTAGTTTTATCAGTCTCTGAAATCTGTAAATGTAGAATTCAAGAAGAAAACTGAGCTACAGGACAATATCCGCCAAAGATTCAGAAAGAAATATGTGAGGTAACATGAATTGCAATACTTCACTCCTAGCTGTACTGGGAAATGCTTCTCCACCCACACTGCCCAAGGTCACATAGCCTAACTGCTCTTAATGACTAGCAGCTGGGGCCCTGTTCACTGTTCACACAATCTTCTGGTATGATAGTCAAGCTGAAAAGCTACCTGAACTCTTTTCTTCCAAAGCCTCGCTTAAGAATATGAGAAAGGATATTTATTAAGAAGAAATGTCTAAAAGCAAATATTGATTTATAATTTCTAATAAGTTGCAATGGGAGTCTTCTACACAAATTCCATTTTTTTAATACTTTTTTTAAATGAAGATCTATTTATTTATGCATACAAGAACAGGGTACAGGCCAGAGGTGCAAGGGGTGAAAGGATTCACCAGTGATAGAATGGGGACCAGAACAGGCAGATGGACTGAAATCCACTGCTAACAGGGGCAGTGGGTAAGACAGGAGAGGTCTGCTGCGCCATGTGGGTCAGCTCCCTGGCCAGGGACCAAACTTGTGCTGCAGTGGCTGCTGATAGTGTCACAGTGCTGAGACCAGAAGCAAGTATCACTTCAGGTCATCATGTCACAGTACTATGCTACATATCTTCTTATGCATATTCACCACTATTCTTCCTAATTAAGATACACAGTTTGAGAAAAATATATGGGAGAAGATCTTGTGCCAGCAGAAGTGTTAGCTATGAACATGAATGATGAGTTTCAATCTTTGTTATCTTTTGCTGTTAAACAGTTTTGCCTTGATATTCAAAGGTTCTCTAGGGACAGACTTACTGCCTCTTTCATCAAAATTCTGGCATTTGAAATTCCAGTTATTAAAATTACAGTGCTTTTCCTCAATAAGCGTTAGAGTAAGGAGCAAAGGCAATTATTTTACATGTCATGAGCTCATTCTCACAAACAGAAAGTGAATCTTTCCTTTCCTTAGCCCAGAACATTCCTGATAGTCGTGGAGTCCAATCATGGATGCTTTCAATCAGATTCCTGGGAATGCACCAATTTTTCCTCTTCTGCTTCTAACTGAGGGAGGCTGGGACATCTCAGAATGTTTAAAATCACCCACTGTCTGTGGCAGGAACCTACTTCATGTTGTGAAAACAATGAATAGCCCTTGATCAGGGTATCTATGCCTTTACATTATCTTTAGAATATTTATTTTAGTTACTCCTTGATCTTTTCAATGATTTATAACAAATATACACTTGCTTAGAATATCTCAAATTTAGTTATAATTTTCTTTACCTGTTAGATCATTTTGGAGATGGATGTAAGGGAACAGGTAGAATGTGAAACTGTGGTAGTCAATTCTAACTAGTGATGCTCTCCAAAAAGTAACTGACTAATTTAATATCTCAGGAATTGATTTGTGTGCTGAAGTGTCTGTAGTAGGGTAGGGTAAAGCTTTTCTCCTGGGATTCCCATACAACCACCGATCTCACCATTTTTCTTTGGATTACAATATTAGAAAGATCACATAGCACAGAAACAACCCCTGATTATAGTTATTATGAGGCTGTATTAAATACTTTCAAAAACTAGCAAAAGGGAACACAGTTGAAAGCCTGGAAAATCTAAAGGAAAAACACACCAGGTGCCAGATAGTCATGTATTCATTTTTATAATGTGCTTGGCATGGGCAATTCTACAAAGTTTTCTATATGTTTTAACCTGTCATCATGGAATGTGCCAGTTCAATCAAAACACTGGGTTTGTAATTTTGTATGCTACATAACCTAAGGCTGAACACAAGAAAAAAAAAGTCATATAAGTAATTCAGTATATGAATACTGCTT